CCACCCGGCGAATGGTCGATTGCGCCGCACGGTCCGACTCCGAGTCAGTTCAGTTCGCTGCCACCAGGCCGGCGGCGGCGCGGCGCCGTCACCCCGCCGCCAAAGGTCAAGTTCAGCGGTCGGCGGCGGCGGCCCCGGCCCCGGCCCCGGCCCCGGTCCCGTTACATTCGCTGCTGGCGGAGTGGGGAGCGCGCCGGCCGCGCCGCCGCGGTCGGTCGTTGACCCCGCAGTGCCGGTCGCGATCGACCGTCGTCGGCTGACGCGGCCGGCCGGCAGGGGCGGCGGAGGCGGGTCCGGGGCGGTCCCCAGGCCCACCAGCGGACAGCGTCTTCAGAAAGCTCCCCTGGGAGCGGTATATCGAACGCTGAAACGCCCCAGACGAGTTGAGCTGTGCCCACCGGGGTCGGGCCGCTGGCGCCGCCGCCGGCCGCTCGGTTACGGCGCGGCGGCGCGGCTGGCCGCCCGCCAGCGTGACGTAGCGCTGACGTCACTGTGACGTCACCAGTCGGCCGGGAGCGTAGCTCTTCCTCTCAGGGTCAGTGACACACACGCGCTTCCGTGCGCCCGGCAACACAACAAGGGGAGAGGGCCGGGCGCGGAAGTAAACACGCCAAAGTAACGGTACCCGCGCGCCGAGGGGAGAGGGTGTGTCATGGTCGGGGAGAGCGATAGGGGCGAGCTACCCTTCCGCGCGCCGGCCGGCCCGCTAGCCGACCCGCTTACTGGCGCGCAAACAAACAACAGGGAGCGGGCGGCGGGCGGTGGGGCCGGGCGCCGACCCGTTCACCGCTCCCAGTCGCCCCCGACGAGACATGCAGACCGTCGTGTCGTGACCGACGCTCTCCATGATCCCGCCCGGCAACGTCGGCCGTCGGCCGGACGGGGGCGTCGGCCGGCCGGGGTCGATGACACGGCCGGCTGTGCCGTGCCGCTGCACGCCGGTGTCGCCACGGCCGGCCGGACGGCGTGCCGGAGCAATCACAGCTGTGCACGGCCATGTGAGGCTCGGCCGATCGAGGAGATACGACTGCCCCCGTCCCCGCCCCGCCCCACCCGCCCCTGTCCCCCGCCCCCGCCCCCGCCGTCGGTCTGTGACTCTGCAGCCAGTGTGTTTGACCTCAGCAAAGCGCACCGACCCCAGCGCTCGATCGTTTCACCATAAAGGCCACAATGGCTCATGGCGAGGGGAGTTAGGGTGGAGGCCGACATATCTAGGTTAACGAGCCGACAGAAATATTTCCATGTTTGGTGCGAACTATATGTAGAGTATGAAAGGGTGCCGAATACGAGAACAAGAACGGTTCCCGTGTTCCATCAGCTGCAAAGACCATTTAATTGATAATAGACTTAATCGTATGCATAACGACTGTTGCGATATGAGGGCGCGGACCATTTGAGGCTGAGTGCCATTGTAGGTAAGTATATAACATCAACTTGGATACCTATATAATTTACATAGAAGCGAGCATTAAGCTATTCTGAAAGTATCGCGTACTGTTTCGCGCGAAAACCATCATATTAGTAACTTGCATTTCAACATGACGACTATGACGACTATAATTCATTCGGTCTTCTCGAATAGAAAGGCGCTGCAAATCAGTTTATCGTTATAACGTAACATCTGTCTCATGTTCCGCCGATCTCGTTTTCACCACCCATGGCAACACATACCACGTCATTGATGTGTGAAAAGGAAAAAAAAAACCTGGAAGTAGTGGCATACCAGTCGGCTGCAGGTTCCACGTTTCCACGCGGCGCGCCGGCGGCTCAGGTGTTGGGGGCAACGACCCGGGAAGTCACTCGGAAAACGTCCCGGCCATGTGGCGACACGGCGACAGAAAGAAAGGCTGCCGGTTCAGCCAGGTGACTGCGGCGCTTTAGGAGGCTCACGCGGCGGCTGGAGATAGGTGGAATTAGCGTCTGTGCAGAAGGTATGACTTCGAGGCCACGGACCACGGTTCACGGCTCACGGTTAACGGGTTTACATCACGGAGACGGGGGCAGGGTAGTGGGAATTCAGCCGTCACCGATCTGGTAGACCAGTGGCGTTTGGACGGGGATGGTTAGGAGAGTCGTGTTGGACATGGCTTGTGAAACCAGTAGGAGTCGTTGACACCGATTTTAGCATATGGCGTTGGCCGGGCTGAGTGGCCTGATCCGGCGGTGAGCTGACCGGCTGACCCGCGGGCCTCCGGACCCGGACCGGAGCCCCCGGAGCCGGCCCGGAGCCTCCGGAGGTCGGTATACCCGCCGAGCGCCGGTCCGGTCACACCGGTTCACGGCTCTGGGTCAGCAGTGCGACCTCGGACCGGCGCCGACCGGTACTCGGTGCTGTTTACCCGAGTCGGGCGCGCCTTCCAGCGCCACCGCGTAGTAGACCGGCCAAATCGGCCCAAACCAGTCCCGCCGCCCGCGGCGGATCGCCAGCGAGCGCTCAGCGCAGCGCGTCCGGCCGCCCGGCCAGTTCCGTTTCACCACTCGCCCCCGGGCCATGTGGATTCAGGGTTGGGGCCATGGCGCCGGCTCCAAAAGAAAGCCATGTCAGGGACAATAAAACGTTGAACCCGGTCCCAATGGCGCGCGGCTTTCACCGAGACGCAGCAGGAAGAGCCGTATTGGCGCCGGTGAAAGTAGTCGCGCTGCTAGTTTTTCCGGGCCTGCGCAGCTGGACAAAACGTAGCGCGTCTGGGGGCGGCGCCGGCGGCTCCCGGCCACCCTGGCGGGCCCGAGGACTCACCGAGCTCGTCAGCGTCTCAGACGAACCCCGTGGGGTCCGGCGAGGGTCGCGCCCGGTCCGCGGCGCCCCCAGACGCCGCCGACGCCGCCGCAGCTGCCGGCGCCGCGCCGCGGGATGGTCCACCGATATGTAGGCCACTCATGGCGCGCCGGTCATAAAAACTGGTCCCGGTCCCGACCCACGTGGACCGCGGACCATCGCCGGGGGAGGGGGGGTGACCTACAACCGGACACACCTTGACAGGAGCGGCAGAGCTGGGGTCACACCGCCACCCGCCGCCGGGTCAGAGCGCAGCGCTCCGCGAAACAATCTAAGGGAGGCTCGCACCAGCCCATGATTCACCCCGTGTGCCGTGAGTAGGCGCCGAGGTCATTGTCCTATTTCGACACGGATTTCGAGGAAAGTGGCCAGCGAGTGTCCGTAGAAGCCATATTGTATGTCGCGTTGCAGAAATAAGTGTGTCACATGTGACATGCGTTATGTAATTTTCGATGGCGTACGTCATGAATGCGTGTATCAAGCAATAGAAAGTTGTCCGGTTGCACCTGGTTAATGCATAGGATTTGCCAATTAGCACCGCTGCCAGTGTGTCAGCTATGTTTGGACATGACTGCAGTGTGCAGGAAGAGATGCGGCCCGACAGAAGTCCGGCAGGCGAATGGCTGAGTCACAATGGTGGTTTATATAACTGCACTTTTGACAGTGGGTGAGAGTCGGCGTCTCACTTCATGGAAATGTTTCGTGCGTAATTGCGCCGTAAAATAGAATGTGGAGCAGGTAGGCAAATTGTGCACGCAACAATTCCTTTGATCAGACTTTTAAATTACCTTTAATAGGTTTGTGCAAAAAGACAGATCTAAGTAACAAAATGAAAATAGGTAGCCAATGGGTCGCATTTGAGTCAAGAACTAGCTATGTAGAAGCGTTATGAGCATTCATAAATGGGTGAATTCTACTAAATGACTAATAGGTACAACCCAAACAAATTTCAAAAACCGCTCAATTCTCTTATAAACTATACAAGCCTTCATGTTTGAATAAAGGAATCGTTCGGACCACGTCACGGCCAAGGGTGCAGTTTTGTCTCGTCAAACAAACACCTTCTTTCTATGAGTCACCACGGCCGTGTTTATGCGAAAACGGCGGGCGACAGACAACCCAGAGCTCAGGGTGAGTCAGCGATCGGCCAGTCATCTCAGCCTCTCCCCAACCCACATGTATAACCCACCCACGGAGGATCCACCTGCATACAATCCCCAATTTCCCATCCCCACCCCTCACTACCCACCCCTGGGAATCTGTTGGAGCCGGACCGTTGTCCGTGAAACCCTCCCCTCCCCTCGCTCGACAGTGTTCCAGGCGAGCTCCTCCGCCCATGACCGGAGGCGGACCGACCGCGGCGGCCGCGGCCGCGTGCGCCGTTAGTTCCTGGCGCCGCCGGCGACGGCCGCCGCTCCGGAGAAAGTGAAACGCGGTCGTCGGCCGCGGCGGGGTCGACGGCCGCGGCCCGCTCCGTAAAAAGTGAAACGGCCACGGCGCAGGGGCGACCGTGGCGGCGGCGGCGCGGCGGAGTTTCACCGCCGGCCGACGACGCGGCTCGCAGGCCGTCCAGTCGCCGCCGCTTTCTATTCGAGACCTTTCGCTGCCGGGTCTGTGTTGGCCCTCCATGGCCAGCCGATGGCCAGGGTTGACCGCCGGCTGGGCCGGGTCGGGATGGATCGGGGTGGGTGTAGAAGAGGGCGCGGGACTTGCAAGGGCAGCCGGTGCCGCGCGATAGCGCCACCGCGCTGGTATGATCGGGAACAGGTTATGGCGTACCAGAAACGGAAGCTGCAGCTGCAGCCGTGAGGTCCACCGGCCGACTGAAGGCTGGTGGGTGTTTGTTGCCACCTATCGTAGCGCATCCGAGCCTCAGAAAACGCCACAAAAACATCAGCCGGCCCTGACACAACGCAGACTTTGCACACATCCGCGCCGAATGTATAAACAAGACGACCGAAGATCGTAAATCGTAAATATCTTCTGTTTTGAATGGTGAATATCACAAACAAAGCCCAAGCGATACATACATGACTTTGCAATCAGCAATCAGCCTACAAACTGCATTCTATATTTAACTGGTGGTGAATGCATTGCGTAGTTGAATGCAAGTGTGGTCGTTTTCCATTACAATTTCTTGGAAATCGGAGCATCAAAAAGTGAGCACGCGACATAAATTGTCAATTAACATTCATCGCATGTTTCAAGTGTCCTGGCCCCTCACCTGCTGAAAATGAGCTGCCGAGGGACGTGAGCGACTCTGGAACCCTCCAGTGAACGACCGGATGCTTACCTGTAAAGAAAGAAAAAAACATTGGTTAATGGTTAGTGGCGGCGCACGTATGACTCGACGAATACCTTTCAGCTATTTAAATTTGTTCGTGTAAATTGTAACTCTGGGCCATCGATTAGGATATGACCGTGTTCTTGTCCGGTCATATCTTACCAACTTTTCCAAAGCACAAAGTATATCTAAAACTTTATCGCCAAGTTTCTGTATTCTTTTTAACCTTCCAGGTAAGCACGATATAACGGGAATAACGGACACCATCATCGGCCAAAAGTTTCCACCCGAGCACCTCATCTTCACGACCCTCCCTCGCTCCCGTAAGCCCCGCCCTTCCGTTTGACATTAGATCCCCCGCAATATCCCGAAATAACCGCGACCCGGAGCGTCGCCGTGAGCGATTCTCATTCGGGTCGAGCTCTGGGAGCGCGGGTGACGTTCTCTGGGCCACACCCGCGGCCATTACCTTGTCTTCTGCGTCATCACCTCGCGGGCACCCCAAGAACTGCCTCCCGCGCCGCCGCACAACGCCCTGCGCCACGGCACGTCGCAGCGCGCCGCCCCACGCCGCGCCGGCGCTGCACAAGGCATTTCCGGCGCGCTCACGAACCTTGGTCGGCTGACAAAAACGCACCGTGGCCGCGCCACATCACAATGTACGGCACGGCGGTCCCTCTCTAACGGTTCGCCGTCATTACGGGCGAGCAGGGACGCGGGAGGGTGGCGGGAGGGTGGGCCCCGGAGACTGGGACGCAAGGAGGTCACCACCGGACCGGGGCCCCGGTCCGGTGGTGACCTCCCCCGCGGGGGAGGGAGGAGACGGGACACCGGGAGGAGGGGAGGGGGAGAGGGAAGGGCAGAGAGAGGGAGAGGAGGGCGGAGACATTGACGTAAAAGAATCAGTGGGAGTGATACTATGTTATGGTAATGAAGATGAGCGTTTTTAAAGCAAAAATGGGAAGCATTTCGATCGGTGAATAGATCGCGAAACAACACGAGATAATTGCAATTTATCTTCCGCGTTCGAAACTACTGTCGCTCCAGCTGTTGGAAGGTGATCTGCGGCTGGAGAATGGGCGTGGCCGCGCATCCCACATCTGCGCGATGGCACACTTCGGACCGCTTTTTCGCGCCGCGTCCCAGCCAGCATCGCTGCAATCAATCTGGGCGAATTCTCGAGTTGGGGATGATCTACCAATTAGCGGCGTTTCTGTGGCGTTTTTACGCCGCTACTATGTAGGCCACCGCTGATGGTGGATTACTGTAGGCAGTGGCAAAAACGGGCCGACAAAAACAGAGGCCGAGCAGGTTTTGTCGAGCATGTGCCGTCCAGGTGGGCTTTGTTTGAGCTCGTGCCAGCGCCCAGCCACAATGTGGCACATGCCCGATATAAATGGCGTTAATCCAATCCCCTTTTTGTTCTTCCTCTCCCTTTGGACTAAGACAGCCGACAGTATTGAAGTGGGACTAAGTGGCACCTAGAAACTAATAAAAAAAACGAAGGGACCTCCCAACCCATCAGCGATATATCTTTACAGCCTGGTCTGCCTAGGATTTTATAAGCTTTACGAAAAGAAAGTAGCAAGACGGCATGTTGCCATTAAGAAATATAAAAAACTCGGTAAATGGTGGACATCCTACGTGAGTGAAAATCCCAGCCGGGATAAGAAGGGGACAATGCAGATTGTCACATCTGGCTTAGCTGGCACCGGTTGTCGAAGCCCTGATCTGCGCGTTCCTCCCTCGTATTATTGGAGCAGGAAGTGCCGTATTCCGATGGGAGGGGCCCGTCCGGAAGTCGAAGCAGCTCCAGGAAGGGCGGGGAAGGGAGGGGAGCTGCAGTCACAAGGTCAGCCGGCCGGTGCCGACCCGAAGCCAGGGTGACCCGGTGTTGGACGGTCAAGGTGAGATCATTGGACGGAAGGCTGTTCAACCAGCTGCGTTGCAGCGTCAGAGGCAGACCGTCAAACTGACAGTAGGCCGGCCGGCAGCGGACTCCGGCAGCCGACCCGCCCGCCCGACCGACCATCGCGGGGTCACCGGAGACGCCCGAGGTCATCGGAAACAGTCACCGGGCGGTGTCACGGCCACACCAACGGAGATGGCTCCAGTGACAACGTGGTATGTTAATAACCGGTCAAATGCGTCAAGGCCAGGGTCAAGTCTCTGTTCCAGGGCTCAGCAGCCACCGTGTCACGGCCTGCCCAGCAGAACACCGCAAACAATACACATGGTAGACCTTGAGCGATTCCCTCCGTGGACCAGTGTCTCATGCTATCGTGACCACAAAACCACACACAATAAACGTGCGACATTTAGGAAGAATATCAAGCCATCGCAAGGCTAACAATGATGCGTGCAACCAACGTACAGCCGTGGTGACCACTATCTTACGTAATGGCGACGGTACAATGCACCCGTTATCCAGTTTATCAGTTTAAAGAAACACCGCGTCGCATTCTGTGCACAATGACGTGTCGACCCCGCCCCATCTAACCGTGACCCCGAAACTACAGATAGGTTGCCTCACCCTGGCCTCTTTGATAGCCGCGTTCTGACTAAGCACAGTGACAATCGGTGCACTACGAGATCCCGGTGCTTTACCCGTGGTGCGCCGCCGCTCGAGTCGACGCTGGCCGCCACTCGAGGCAACAGCCGATGAGGGGTCACTGGGGTCATCGGTGCTGGCGCTCCGATCGTAAACCACAGGCCGCGCGGCCAGCCGACGGCCCGTTCCGCTGTCTGAGGCATGGCGATCGGACTGACGCGCCTCGGCCTGTTGTCTGTCTCTGTGTGTTTCTCTTGGAAGAATGGGCTAGATCATGTATATTGGTCGGGTGAATATGAATGCTAAACTCGCCCACCCGGTCGCTCGATGAGTCAGCCAGCCGGCTCCTGATTGGCTGTGCATCTGAGTCCCTGACTCACATCCCACCCGTTCACGGCCGACCGGTCCGATCTCCGTACTCGGAGTGCCCGCGGGTCGATCAGCAACCGCGCGACCTTCCCAGAGGCCGGCCGGCCGGCTTCGGCTGACTGCTCCGCCCCCCCAAACGGCGTCATCTGCTCACCCACGGATCTGCACCTCTGAGGTCGGCTCCTCCCTCGCCTAGACCGCGGCGGAGGCGGGGACACGGACGTTAGACGCTCGGCCACGCAGAACACGCATACCTGAGCACGACGGCAAAACACGGAGACCGCCGGCTCCGTCACAAAGACAGGGTCTCGGCGCTGTCGGCACGATTGGCCCCGCCCCCGCCTGGCTGCGTTCTGCTGTGCTCGTTTGATACGCTCAGCTACACAGGACCACACCTGTTTGCTGGGTAGGATACGGCTCTGCCCGGTGCTCGAGACTCCGCCCTGCCTCCGCCTCCGCGCCGCGCCGCTGGACCTCCCGTGTCGCCCTCCACACCCCAGGCCAGACCACAGTTGCATCAGCCGAGCCTGGAACAACAGTCCCGGCAGCTCTGAGCCGTCCGAGGCAATGCCGGGCAGCGGCGAAATGAGCCGGGCATAGGGACCAGACTTCGCAGCACACGTGATTACTCACTGGTAGTGGCACCAGACCAATCCTTGGCGTCACGGTCATCACCACTAACGTCACGCGTCACCAGTACCGTCACCAACACCGTCACCACCGCCACCACCGCCGCTGTCTCTGGCGCCTCTGTGACCGCGAGCGCGGACCTTGGACGGTACGGCCGGTCCTGTGCTCCGTCACGGCCACAACCGGTGACGATGAACTTGAAAAGGTCAGGCGGTGCGACCCCGGTGCCGCCGCGTACTCCGGCGTTGCCATGGAAACAGAGCATGACGTGACAGTCCTGCGCCTCTGCAGCGACTTGCGCGTCCATATATTGTCACGTGCCGTAATAATAGCATGCCGAGGGAGGCCGTACACACGCGGGGGGAGGGGTCGGCCTGGTGCGTAGGTAGGTGCTCGGGGGAGGGGAGGCGTGGGTATATTGATGCGCCACATGTGCGTGTGGCCACAGCACAACGTCGTCGGTTCGGGAGAAAGATCATCGGAAAACTACGCATCACGTTCGGCGCAGAAAGGAAGGGACGCAGAAAGGAAGGTTCGACAAGGCCGCAACTCCAATGAATGACGCAGTTGGATCTACACTGATAAGCCTCGACTCGTCCAGGTCAAAGGAAACAGGACAGTATAATGAATTTCACCTTCGTTTTGACACAACTTCTGCTTTGTCACGCATCACATCTTCCACAGCTCGCTTACTTCACGCTCTCCACCAGGTCTGCTGGTCCGGAGCGTCTCGCCCGGCTTCCCTTACCGCTGCTCCCCGGCTTCCCTCGGCGCTGCTCCCCGGCTCCCTCGGGGCTGCTCTCCGGCTCCCTCACTGCGACCCGCTGCTTTCCCATCGTGCACGCAGGGCCGGGTGACAAAAACGGAGGCGCTGCGGCTCACAAAGAGGCCCGCAGCGCGTCCAGCAGCCACCAGGAAGCGGCCGAGCGGCCCGGCGATGACTCGGCGCCGCCGTGATGTTTGTCTGATTGCATGCGAAAACAGACGGGGATGCCGAAAACAGACGGCAGGGTTTCACGTCCCCCAGGCGGGGAGTTGACAGCGCGGGGCGGGGGCTGTTGAAGCATTGTGAAACGGAGGGACGGAGGGAGCTCTTCTGGGAGTTTGGCAGCTAAAGTGAGCGAGGAAGCCAGCATAAGCTGATCTACAGACTACCTACTCTGGCTGACAACAGAGGTGTGATAAAGCATTCTACTTCACTATACAATTATGTACATTTCACAAGGTACCTATCATCATTGTAAGATTCTCGTCATCGTTCAAAAATGAAAGAACGTAATTTCAACTACTTCGGAACTATAACACTGCTGAAAAGTTCGCATAGATAAAACACCCCTGCGTGGTTCATTCAATCGGTTCTTGAAACACAAATTTCTGCATTCTTAGAAAACTTCGCAGTAGAACCAAAACCATTATCGATCCATCCGCCTCCACCTTTGGAACGTTGAAGGAGGCAGTA